GATTTTTCAAGTCGCAAGTATATGCGAATGAGCCACAAACCAAAGTATTCCTCACTACTACACACGCATATCTCATATGGCATCAATATCTCTTCCAAAGAAGAAAATATTTCGATGACATCTCATACACTCTTTACTTTATTCCAATTTAGAGATAGGAAGCATTTAATGAAATACCCTTTATTTTATATCTATGAAAGAAAATAATTGGATCGATGAACATGATACCCTCTTGGATTTTATCTGTTCATTATGAATATTAGCTTTTGTTATTATTATTTTCATTCTTACATATCATTTTCAATTTTCTTTTTTTCCCTAGCAACATATATTGTTTGGGAATAAATAAATGGAATTGAACCACAAGTTTGTTTGTTCCACAAAATAACATTGTTTTATCTGTGACGGAAAAAGTTGGACATTTTATCTCTGATGTCAAGGTAACAAAATGTCACTTATTATGAAATTACTTTTTTTCCCGGGAGGTTGCAGTCAAGGTCAAGGATGAAAACCCTTTGCTAGTTTGTCAAGCTTACGGAAATGTTTATTTCCTTCTTCAGGACAACTGAAATGATAATTGTAAAAATTGTATAAAACGTTACAGATATAACTTACTCAACATGAGATTAATATAAAAAATTAGCAGCAAATCGAACGAAAAATAATTTGAAAGTCAATTTTGACATGAATCAATCAATGACAGTTATTTGTTGATAACAAAAATAATAATTTGTTTCACATCAGTCAGTTACATAATAGATGAATCAGCATTACTATTTCTTCTTCGACTATCATTATCAAATTTGAATAAATAAGCATAAATTTGACTGGGATTATTTGAGTTAGTTTTTTTGTTCATGGATTTCAATTCTTTATTTATGTGTATCATTTCTAGAAAAGAACGTTTGTGAGGATTTTGTTCGATTTCTAAAATACTAGCATAAGTATACTCTATTTGGTGGTCTAATGAATTTACTTGTTGTGATAATGCACATGATAAAACATTTCTTCTGCAGTCACTTTTATGGGAGGTGATTCGACTTTTTAGAAGTCTTGAGGTCTGTCCAATATACACTTTATCACAATCTTTGTAAGGTATTTTATATATATTGGACAGACCTCAAGACTTCTGAAAGGTCGAATTACCTGTCATAAAAGAGACTGCAGAAGAAATGTTGTATCATGTGCATTATCAGAACATGTAAATTCATTAGACCACCAAATAGACTATACTAATGCTAGTATTTTAGAAATTGAACAAAATCCCCACAAACGGTCTTTTCTAGAAATGATACACATAAATAAAGAATCAAAATCCATGAATAAAAAAACTGACTTGAATAATCTCAGTCAAATTCATACTAATTTATTTAAATTAGATAATGATAGTCGAAGAAGAAATAGTAATGCTTATTCTTCCATTATGTAACTGACTGATGAAAACAAATTATTATTTTTGTTATCAACAAATAACTGTCATTAATTGATTCGTGTCAAAATTAACTTTTAAATTATTTTTCGTTCGATTTGCTGCAAATTTTTTATATTAATCTCATGTTGAGTAAGTTATATCTGTAACGTTTTATACATATNGCGCCGATATGGGAAAATGGCCGAAAGAGATTCATAAATGTGGGGTGATATTAGGATTTATGCGGGATTCAGCAAGAACTACATTGGAATTCAACGTTAACAAGAGCTCTCTAGTAAGTGAAAGAATAACATTCTCCTATCTTGAATTGAATTATTACTGAAAGATTATATATTCCATAATATACTCGTAACAGTGTTTGAATGAATGTAACATTTTCACAATTAGATACAGAGTTCCATAAAGGACACAACTGCAGTGATAATTCCTCTCAATGTTAAGGTTGATCTTTTCTGTCTTGATCTATTTGAGACAGACTAGAGTAGCAGATCACATTTATTTCGCATATGACGAGCCTCTTCATATTTTATATATTTTAGACATTTACTTACATATCTTTTTTTTTCAGTGTATTTCAGTATCGCACTTGGGAGGAGTTTTTGAGTTTTATATCATGGTGTTATTACCATCAAGTACAAGCTTTCATTCAGCAGCTCTGGGAAAACTTAAATTAATTATGAATGAAATCAAATTCACCAATTTATTCCATTTCACAATGTATATGATATTTTAAGATTGTGCAAAATTTACCCATCTCGTAAAAATGAGAATTTCTTTAGATTTATTAACGTCAAGATTAGAATACATTTTGTATTGCTGTTTCTACACCGACAAAAATCTCACGACAAGTTTCCATATCATATGTAGTGTGTAATATGGTGAATCGATAAGTTGGACTTGAATGAAAGTAATTTTTTTTTCTGTCTGTTCATTTCATTTGTTATATTTCGCAATTTATATGTGAAAAAATATTTCTTTTGAAAATAACCGATGTCAAAATCAAAATACATTTTGCATTTTTGCTTCTACACTGGCAAATCTCACGATAAGCTTTCATAACATATAAATTGTGTAATGTGGTGATTTGATGAGTTCGACCGAAAGTTATTTTTTTTTACGAAATGGTGAATAAAATTCCATACCTGAGAATGTTTTTAGCTCATAATTGATTTTTTTTTTCGAATTATTACTACACATGTTTCTCAGCCTATTCATTTCATTCGATGCATCATTGTTGCATGATCAGTTCCTCAAACATATGTTCGAGCACCATGAGGGTGCATAAAATGGGTTGAGGTGAAATATTAAATTTTTTGCATTTTTTTCAGCAAAGTCTTTCATTTGATACTCATATCATGGTGATCTACAGAAAACTAGTTCGCCATCTCACGTGGTCTGCTATATTCTTTCATATTTTTTCTATGAAATCAAATCAATTATATTTATTTCATGTGACGTATTTTTTTTTCAGCAACCCGTTTAATCTGACATCCATATCATAGAGGTACATACAAAACTAGTTCGCTTTCTTGGATTTGATATCCATGTAATAGGGGACATAAAAAGCTGATCCACCATCTTGGGCAGTCCGTCATAGTTATCCAAGCGTGACGTGATGTTATTTTTGTTTCCGTTTTGAGCGAATCCTTTATTTCATATACCCCTTTATAATTGGGTTGCATAAAAAACTGATCCATTACCTTAGGCGGTCTGCCGAATTTCTGTTTAATCAGTTGCGGATAACTGCTTCAAAATTCAGTTGCAGGATTTTATCTAAACCAATATACATAATATACACACATATCAAGTAGAATAAAAGCTTGTAATGAGTTCGAAGATACTTCTAATCCTAGGATCATTCCCTCCTCATCTAATATTCTTCCAAAAGTTTCATTCATTGAATTACTAATTTTTGGTCTAAGAGAAGATTTTAAAAGCACTGCATTTCGGGATAAATTAATTATTTCGATTTCTTTATGTTTCAGATATTCCACAGTTTTTCAGAATGGTCAGTGATAGAAGCTGACGTAATATCTGGAATTTCATTGGAGAATACATTTTCAGAACCAGCAATTCTTCAAGTGACTTTCACTCTGAAAAGAACCTCCAACATTGTAGAAATTTTGTTATTCTCTCCATTCGTAGGTGAGTTTCGAGAGATTGTATCTGTCTCTTTTATTGTACGATTGCTTCATCGAAAGAATCTCATTTCAGTTATATCTATTTTCCTCTTGGCATCATTCTGGATGGATCCTCTTGGGAAAACGAAAATTACACTAACTTGCAGCCAACTAATTTTAACAACGATAATGCTTCTTGCATTGGCAAAAATTGTACCAAGTCATTCCCAAAATGTCCCTTTTTTGGGTAAGTGCCATATAACCATTCGAAAGATTTCAGTTTTGACATTGTGAAAATAGCGAATGAATATTGTTTCTGAAAAGTTAAAGTAAACAGTTTGATACTATGGATTTGGAATCGGCATCAGAGCTGAACTTCCACAATTCTGACATTTGCAGCTCGAAATGTTTCCTTAGTAAAAATTACGATGTTGTGGAAAATTACTACCTCTTATTCTCTGAAAGATATTTTTGTAGTGGACTCAATGCTTCTTATTGTTTTTTGGGTATATAATCTGGAAAATAAACAAAGCCACATCAATGAAAAATCAGCTGGAGTGTATTGAAGAGAGTTCACAAAGTAGCGTGTTGAAAACAGTTTCAACACTAGTGTTGAAAGTATTTTTAACAGAATGTTTTTTCGACCAAATAGCAATAAACAAAACATAATTATTTAATTTTGAAGAAAGTTTTATTATGAACAATAGAAACAATAGAACAATTAAAATCTGTTACAAATGTATTGTATACAATAATTACATTATTATTATTATTATTTATGAACATTAATATGAAAAGTACAATTAGAACAACTGCTGATGTTATTACCTTGCGATGTTGAGGAGCCTTGTAATATATTTGAACTATCTGAGTTGACAATTTCATGGGCATCAACATTCAATTCTTGGAGTGTAGAGGACGATGCTGTAATGCTGGAGCTACTGTTGGAATGATTCTTTCAGCAATAGCCTTTTTTACGAAATAGATTGATCGATGTAACCCTCAGCTACTGTTGTAGACATCCATCCTCCGTGCTTCTTATTATCCATTATATTATCCTGATTCTGCTAGCAAAGTAGCAGAAGATGAATTTCATTAGTTCGGACTTCCATTGTCTGATATTGAATAAAATTATTTGAAATCCCTGAAAGAACTAAAAAGAAGAATTAAAAATCAAAGAACAAGAATAAAAATGGAATCAGTCTAGTCATCACCCTAAGACGATTGTGGATACTAACAATCGAAACGTCGTGAAGTAACTTGGCTTGGAATCTCGTAACTTTTTAATTTTATTTTTATTACTTGTTCAATTTTTTCCATTTTTAGTTGTATTTTATTTCACTATCATTTCATTTCAGTTTTTTTTTGCTTAATATATTTGTTTTTTCAGATATTCATTTTTNATGGCATATGTCAAAGAATCAAAGCTAGTTACAATCTGAGGCGAAAGTTTTGGGTTTTGATAACGAAAAAAATATAGCTTTCTATCAAGGAAGCTACGGTGTTAGCGAAACGCATCTAGAAATAAAATTATTATCATGGATAGCAACGGCGGTTCGTCAGAGGAGGCAAGGGAGGCTTGGCCTCCCCATAAGATTTGAGGGTATTCATCGCAATAAATTAAAAGATATTGACAAATAATTATGATTATTTTTTTCTAAAAATGCTTACTTTACCATTAATTTTCAATATAAATACATAATATGCCCGAAAAAATACTATCACTCACTACGTAGTACGTACCACACTGTATCTTGCATCAAACGCACCGCCCATGAACGAATAAAGAATAAACTATCAACCCGAAATAATAAATATCATACGTTGCAAGGGAGCCAAGCCTCCGACCGATTTAAAAAACACAAACTCCACTAGACCGTTCCAACCAGCTACATACGTCCTGATTTGTAATTTCAGTTGCAGAAATTATAGCGTCAGAGGAGGCCTGCCTCCAGTTGGTCTCCGTTAGTGTACGAATGCGTTTGTTTTTTATTTAATTTTTCGGACGGGATACCGTGACGGACCGGGACTAAAAAATATTCCGGTAAATCGTTTTAGTGTTTCTTGATAATATTTGTTGTTTGTGTATAAAATTGGCAGTATTATATTATAGCAGTGCTTTTTGGTGATATTTTTAATGTGTTTTCAAAGTGTTTTCTTTCAATTTCAAGGTGTTTTCAGGTTTCCACTTTTGATTTTTTCATTTATTATGGATAAGTTGGACGAAATTAAAAAATCTGACGATAAAGTTGATTGGTTGCTAACAAATAATGTTGAGTCTTTGTCTTATAATAATAAATTTTACATTATTAAAACTCTGGGAAGGACTCAACCAAATTTGATTTCAATTAAATCTTCAGATAATCGACAAAATCGTGGATTTGATATTAGTTGGTACGATAAATGTGATTGGTTAACCGACTCCATTAAACAAGAAAATCTTTTTTGTTGGCCCTGTGTTTTATTTTCCGTACAAACCGAATACCATATGTGGTCTAAAATAAGACACTCCGATTTTAAACATTTACCTCGTGTTATGGGGCAAATATGATTCACAATTTGGCACTTTTTTAAACGGTAGCGTTTTTTCGGGCACCTCAAAAACCATTCAAAATGAGCTCATTATAGACAGTGTGGCATACATTATTAAGGAAAATATAAGAAAGGAGATTTAAAGTGTTTCTTTTTTTGCATGGGAAATTGATGAAACTACCGATATTACCTATCCATCACAACTTTCAATCGTTTTTAGATATGTCAAAGATGGTAATGTGGTGGAACGTTCTATGGGTTTTCATGATGTTTCATCTGGGCGCACAGCTGACGATTCGTTTAATTTTTCAATTCGTACGTGTGACACCTATAATTTTAGGCAAAAGTTGATTGTGCAAACCTATGATGGGGCTGCGGACATGGCCGGCCATTTGAATGGTTTACAAACTAAAATAAAGTCCATAGCTCCTCATGCACTTTTTACGTATTGTCCAATGCACGAGCCGTCACTGATGGATAGTGTTGTTAATTCCAATCGAGTGACGGGTCAGTTCATTCATAATTTGTTTATTTTTTTGATTGTGGCTCACTTTCACTAGATGATAACATAATCATTACACATAGCGCCATTCAGTTGTCTATGGGGTGAGAAATCTGAAATTCGGAACAAATCTTCATAAAAAAAAATGGGAATCTTTCAAAAAATGTGAAAAAGCAATAGATTTCAAAATGAAATCTTCACTGAGATATGTAGACAATAAAAAAAGGTTACTTTCAGGTACACACTGAAAAGAAGAGTTCTCTTGAAACAACTTCTGTACTATAAAAATTGAAAGAAAAAAAAATCGTGATATACGGGGCGTCCAGCGTTGAAGAAAAAACATGTCTGACATCAAAGTATACTGGTGCAGCGTATAAGGAAAAAAATATGGCGTCCAGCATTGAAGAAAAAACATGGCTACCATCGGGATAAACAGGGTGTGCAGCGTTTAAAGAAAAAACATGGCGGCGGACATTAAGCGGAATATACAGCGTTAAAGAGAAACAAATATGGCGTCTAGAATTACAGAAAAAAGACTACCATCGTGATATACAGGGTATGCAGCGTTTAAGGAAAAAACATGGCCGACGTCAAAGTATACAAGGTGTTTGCAGCGGTAAAGAAAGAACATGGCGTCCAGTGTTGGAGAAAAAACATGGCTGACATCAAAGTATATATTGAGCGGAATATACAGAGCGCGTCAAAATATATAATTCAAGAATATGTCAACTTGAATGTTTTTTCTTGCATATTGGCAGCCATGTTTATGTTTTTTCTTGCATTTTGGCAGTCATGTTTTTTTTTCTTTAACGCTGTATATTCCACTCAATGTCCGCCGCCATGTTTTTTTAACGCTGAGTGCTATGTATTCATTGTAATTATCAGCAGCACGGTATACCCAAATATTCTTATTCCAAGCTCGACACATTGACGTCATGTTTTTTTCTTAAGCGATGAGACATCCTGTATGACAGCCATATTTTCTTTCAACGCTGCACACCCTGTATACTTTGATGTCAGTCAAGTTTTTTCTTCAACACTGGGCGCCATGTTTTTTTCTTTAACGCTGTAAACACCTTATATACTTTGACGTCGGCCATGTTTTTTCCATAAACGCTGCACACACTCTGTATTTCAAGTCTTTTCCATCAACACCCTCTATTCCTTATGATTTCTCTACAAGCAACCGCCATGTTTTTTCTTTCACGTTAGCAGCCATCTTTTTTTCTTTAACGCTGCTCATACCCTCTATACCTCGATGGCAGCCATGTTTTTTTTCTTGAACTCTGCACACCCCGTATAACCTCCATTTCTACGTAGGTCGTTCAGAGGTTTACGTTCTTCATTGCTACTGTTAGTTGAATTTCCGGTGTCATGAAACCGGCATAGTAGATCTAGATGAGCTGTGTGGCACGTAGCGCCGTCCTTTTTAAATCAGGTATAGTTGGTCTCCAGATTATCAAATTTAGGCCAAATGAAGTTGGTAATTATCAACTTATAGAACTTGCCGTTGACAGTGATGACCTGTCCAACGCCGTTCTTAAGGAAATATGGACTGAACAGTGACTTTTTTGGGATGCATTGGACGCTCTTGGATCTCCACTTGCGATGAATGAGGTCATTGCAAAGGAATAAGCAATGTCACTGTGACCGACACCCCTTTAAAACTGTACATTTCTTGGAAAATCGCTGCCAATCCGGTCGAACCTCCTGTCGAGCTAGCTTCAAACCAGTTTCAAACCATCATTTTTCTTCTAACTTGTGCTTATATTGTCTTCAATTTACTCGAGCAATGAAATAGCACAGTTGTAAGAATAATTTGTCCAATTTATTTTTCCATGAGAGGTACAGGTTCGGAGTAAGTTATTTCGATACTCTTATAGATTTGTATAACAGCACGAGCGTGGAGAAACTCACTGACGATCTGACATTGGTTATTTCATCCCATATTTCTTTATTTTTTCGGACAAACAAATGTAATACAAAGAATTTGAAATTGAATCATTTGAAAGAACAATTCTTCCAGATCAGTCTCAACTCACCTACAGTAGGTGTTAATGGACTGACACCAATCAGGAAACAAATACTTTCCTGGCTAATACTACAAATCGCGTTGGATTATATCCGACAGGTGTCAGTGCAGGATTTTTCACAGAAGTAATTCCTACATATTATGTTCCTTCAGACTAGTTTCAGGGTATTTGGCCTCTTGTCAGTGCATCATCGATATGAAGTCGATGATTTTCCATAATTAAAAATTGAATTCCTTCCAGAGTATCATTCCTCGAACTAGGCTGAAGCGAACATACAACATATTCGTCATCGCCCCATCTGCCCGTGAACGAGGTAACCAACCGCATATCCGAATCACTCAATTCCTCGAATGAAGAAAAAAACTTCACATACAGTAAGGAGGCATACTTGAAGACTGGTTGTAGATCAGATGAATCGATAAATAGATAATTTGATTTACAGCCAGCCTTCAAATATGCCCTCTTACTATATGTGAACTGATTATGCTGAACATTTAGTCAAATTCTGTTACCGATAAATATGCATCAGTCGTTGTTTCCATGAATTTTTCAATTGATCTATCAAGCAACCAGTTACCAGCTCAATTTTCCATTGTTTCTTCATTTTCAGTTACACTCTACAGCTTTACCATGATTGCTTTGGTAGTGGCTTTGGCAATCGCTGTGATTGTGGTCAATTTGTCAAGGAATAAGAAAAACACATCCGTGCCACTGATACTGTCGAAGATGTTGACGAATAAAGTGATCAGCTGTACATTATTTTTACCAAAGATAAATGTCAGATAAGTCTCCATTTTATAGACTATTTTTAGAAAATATTAATTTTCAGATGTCTGAAGAGTATGGAAAGCTGAACGAAACGGGTCCATCAAAGTCTCAAGAGAATAGCCAGATAACGTGGATTGTTCTGTCACTTGCTATCGACAGGGTAGCTTTCGTGGTCTATGTGGCATTGATTGCTTTTGCAGGATATTCGAAATACTGATTCGATTGTTTTGAGTCCTGTGTGGATCAATATAAGAAGAATCTATAATTCATTATAAAAAAATATTCAACACATTCTATACAGCACACAGGAATTGTGAAGTATATTTGTATTCCTCAATTCAATTACAACATTTCAATCGATGTTTGAATAAAATGAAAATCATTACATGTATGCATTGTAGAAATCATGTTTCAATTGATGAAAATATATAAGGGGAATTCACTAGCAGATACAAAAAAACAGTGTGTCTTGCCTTCAAACTAATTATTCAGGTAGGAAGCAAATTAATCGGTATACTGTACCGTGCTTTCTTTCAAGACATCGAGAAGATTGTTGAAGGACAACAGGTATACAATGATCAGTTTCATCACATCCAAGGATCATATTCTCTGGGAAAGAAAAGAATTTAGCTGTCAATTTCTCCATCGTGATACAAAAAATGTGGGAATCTCCCAAAGAAAAGAAGGAAGCAGTCAGTTTCAAAAAATCAGCTTTATACAAAAATGTGTAACTTTCAGACACAAAGTGGAAAAAAAAACTCTCCCGAAACAGCTATTTTCATGTAAATGTTGAATTACCTACACGAAAGGAAAATTCTTTCGGAACAAATACTTTTATGTGAACGCTGAATTATTCGAAAAACATTTTATTCCGTTTGTATTCCAAACATTTGTGAATGGAATCAACATGGAATCATTCACAGGATTCCTACACAATATAAATAATTTGTCCTGAAAATATCCCCTTTGTATTACATTTTGTATTTCAAAATTTTGATTCCTGATTTCCAAAATGTTGAATTTTTCTATGAATATTTGAACATTGAGCATTTGGAATATGACATTGTCACACTATAGAATAAAAGAAGTTTAAAAATCACTCATATGAGGATGAGGAATACAGTGTCCCTATGAATTCATTATAAACGGAATAAATGATCGAGAATTTTTTATACAGGTCTTTTTTACCAGAAACCAAAATGAATCTGAAGACTGTATTGAGAGAGATGTATACAAGAAAGAAAGTGAATATTTCTAAAATAAATCTCGAAACATTTGTCTTTTCCAAAATACCTAGAGAGTGGGCTCTACTAAACGTCTGTCAGAAAACAAATACTTTTCTGGCAATGAAAAACATTGAATTATATCCGAAACACATTCATGGAAGATACCTGCTGCTCCTTCTGCTGGATGAACGAGAAATAATCTCTGCGTGGTATCTTGCATATATTTCCGTCAGGATATAATCAGAATCTTCTGCGTGGGTACTACGGGAGGTACGAAATGTTCAGTGAGGTATCTTTTTTCGATTTTCCAGACTTAATTGGATTTATGTTAGAGAATTGGTACGTAGGGTTTGGGGCTTTGTTCACGAGATGGAGCTGTTACTAGTTCACATCTTTCTCTTAAATGCGGTCGAGCTGTGTTGAAGTCAGACGAGTTTCAGGCAAACTGATGTTCGGGTCAGATCTTTCCTGCACTGATGAGAAGTAATACCTCGAATCCGGTCTTGAGGTGACCGATTGATTCTAGCATGATCCTGCTGAATGAACGGGAAACTTCTGCATGATTAACTAACCTCTCTGAAAAATGTTGCATAAATGTATGTCGGATATGATTCAATGTCAGTCATGGTATAAGCTGGAAAGGAAATTCGTTGTTTTCCAGATATGACTTGTCGGCTCCAGCTTCTTGAAAGAACGTTCCCTGCAAGTGGCCGTCGATGGATATCTCTCGAATACTTTCACCATCAACGCTGGTGTTCCCCAGGGATCCATATTTTCTCCAACCCTCTTTTTATTGTATATCAACGACTTATTGAAAGAAACAAGAGTCCAATATATTGCTTTGCTGACGACAGCACACTTGTCTCGTTATTCCATTTGTATTCCAGGACATCGGTTACGGAGGCACATCTTCACCGGCAGCAGGTGATTACATATCTCAATGACGATCTAGAAGTGATTTCGAATTGAAAGTAATCAGGTTCAATTCAGTGCCACAAAAACTCAGACATCGGTTTTTTCCATGTAACCTCTCGAAACAGCTGTTTGTGTCTGAAAGTTACTTATTTGCATAATCTACACATCTTGGAGTCGTGAGTCATCATCGGTGAGATTTAAATCCGGACTATTAGCTGGCCATCTCATGACATTAATATTGTGCTCCTGTAGGAAATTTCTCACGACCCTGACTACGTGTGGCCTGGCATCATCTTGTTGTGAAATGAACCCAGCGCCCATATTTTGGGCATATGGAAAGACATGAGGTTCCAATTTCTCCTCTATGTAACGAACAGCCGTTAAAGTCCCTTCCCGAAATACCACAAGGCCGTGTGTCCTGTCAAAGTTATACCAGCCCATACCATTATCGATCCACCTCCAAATGAAACAATTTCTTGCACACAGTCATCCAAATAGCGTTCACCGAAACGTCTCCATACCTGAACACGTCCGTCATTGTTGAATAACATGAAACATTACATTGGCCCACTGTTTTAAATTCCAATTAAGATGCTCTTGACGAAAGTTTCTACGATTTCCTCGATGAGCTGGTGTTAATCTAGGGGCTCTAGCAGGTCGTCTTGCATGGAGTTGTACTTCATGAAGTCGGTTTCGTATCGTTTGCTTCGAACTTCGCGTTCCCGTAGCTTCTATAAGGCGATTTTGCAGTTTTCTAGCAGAATAGGTGCAACCCCTAATTACCTAAAGTCGTAACAAACAGTCTTCTCTGCAGGTTGTTGCCTTTGTCGATTGGGATAAGGGGTTCTTTTCACTATGCCGTAAATTTGGTAGCGATTCCAAGCTCTGGAAACCGCAGAATGACTCACATTAAGCATTTGGGCTACATGACGCCTTGAATACTCTACTTCGATCAATGCCACTGCTCTAGCAGCTTGAAATTCGTTGAGTCACACCTTACGTATCCACCTTCTACCCAATACATCAACATTCATTGTTTAAATTTTAAAATTTAATGCCTATCACGAACTAAAAGGTAAAGTGAAACTAAATACAGAATTTTTCATATCAATGTATTTCATATAAAACTACAAAAAGAAGTAAAAAAAGTAAACAACAACCGAATGGAACATGACAAGGATTATTATGGAGTACACACCAGAAGTTTTTATCATGAAATGATACATATTTTTTTATGTTTGAATCGGAGGGGTTATATTTTTAGAAGTAATTAATTTTTGGGAAAGAAAGCCTTAGGGCAAGTGTCTTACGGCGAAACATCGATGTATACCAGTGAGGATGACAGTGTTCCATGTAAGTGTAATTTGTTACCATTCATTTAAAGTAGAACTCATGTGGATAATATCTGATTTTATTCCCCAACGAATGTTTGAAATACAAACTGAGTAAAGAAAAGTATCTTCTGTATAATTCAGTGTTCATATAGAAGTATTTGTTTCGGAAGAATTTTTTTCTTTCGTGTAATTCAATGTTTATATGAAAGTAGCTGTTTCAGGAGGACTTTCTTTCAGTTTGTGTCTGAAAGTTACTTCTTTGCATGATCTACACATCCATGTATAGAGTTACTTATTTTCAAATTGATTACTTCCTTCCTTTCTTTGGAAGATTCCCTCTTCTTTTTTTGTATCGAGATGGAGTAGTAGAAAGCCAAAAACTTCCTTTCCCAAAATAATTTTTTTAATTGGATTTTAACGATATGTCTCTATATTCATTTTGAGTAGTTATTTCGTCGTGCTTCGTTTTGATTGAAAACGGAGATGGAATGTGTGATCAACTCAGCACAAAACTTTCTTATTAGTCAGTAGGCTATGTTTGATGACAGGCAGTAAACATATCCAAAGGAATGAACTTCAAATGATCAAGCCAGTCTCAGATATACCTACACAGTAGGTTGAGTGGACTAACGTCTATCAGAAAACAACTACTCCCCTGGCTAATACCACGAAAGGCGTTGGATTATATCCGACAGGCGTCAGTGCAGGAATCTGCACAGAAAATTTCCTGCATATGCAATTGGCAATACAACTGAAAGATTCTTTGAGGTGACATTTTTGTTGTTCGCTACAACTTAGGGCGAGGAATGAACTACTCTGAAAGAATTTCGATTTTCAATTATGGAATATCATTGACTTCACGTCGATGATGGCCTAGTGGCCATCGTCGCACTGACGAGTGGGTAATGAGCCTGAAACCGGTCTGCAAGTGTGCCCGTTCCAAAATTGAGGGTCAACTTTTTCATTTGCATTGCCAATTGCATATGGAGGAAGTTTTCTGTGAAGATTCCTGCACTGACGTCTGTGGGATATAATCCAAAGGCTTTCGTGGTATTAGCCAGGGGAGTAGTTGTTTTCTGATAGGCGTTAGTCCATTCAACCTACTGTGTAGGTATATCAGAGACTGGCGTAAAAATGTAAAGTTCATTTCTTTAGATCTCAGCACCTCCTCGTGTCTTTAGTCTAATAGTTGAATTCCACTATGCTGCTTCTAGAGGACTTCGATCTACTCGAAGAAGATTCTGAGAATACTTGATCCTTCAGGCAGGCTTCGGCTAGCATAGTTTTAGTTTTTCCAACAACTTTCTTGGTATTCTTTCTATTTGGCACTGGTAGGTCTTCGGATAATTTCAGTTCTTCAATGTCAGTCACATCTAATGCTAAATACGGAGCCCCTTTCTGGACATGAACTTGCATCTGCAAAATATAATTCATTGAGAGGTGTACGCAGTTTCATATATTTTACATAATCTGAAAGCTTTCTCTACAATCTCTCCCGATAATTTTTTTTGTATTCGCAAAAAATTTGTTTTGTTGAAGGAGTGAATGATATTTTTCAAACACTTTTTTTGAGGACAATAAATCCCAATTTTGGGTGTTGTATAAATAAAACATAACCCGAATTACATTCACGTCACGTAAACTATTAAGAATATGTGATTATGAACAGAGTTGTTTTATTAAGAACATTCACTTACGCCACGACTCGTTACTGTAATTATATTACACACAACCTTGTAATGTGAATAATCATGGACATTATATGGAGAATGGAACGTATACAGAAGTATCCACAGAAACAATGAATGAAAAATGTGAAAGAATATAGAGTTTGTAATGTGGTGAGCTAGTATTGATAGAGTTGATATTCTTGAATTCTTCAAATGTTTGATTCCAATAGAAACTTCGATGATAGGGATATTCAGGGTGAATTAACAATATTCCGTCGGTTCATTGCTATCGATGAAAACAATTTTTCGAATTGCTCAATATATAGGGTGCTCGGTAAAACTGGTCAAGTTTGATTCATTTTCAAACAGACATAATTAAACTTTTTCAAATGGGACATTACCCTGTATTTTTTCATTTTTCATTTTACAAATTATACCCAGTTTTATTAATTGTTGTAACCAAAAAATTCATTTATTTACGTTCACTCACTCAATATTTTTTGAATATAAACAATAACGCCTAAATTTTTCATTGAATAAAGGAGTCCAGAAGATGTTTAAAATGGCGACCATTTTTTGCAATATATAATGTCAGTTTCNACTAACTATTGCTGAAAAGAATCCACTCAATTGCTGTAGACATGCGGGTGGTGAATTAAAAAATATTGTCTACAAAATAGGATTTTCTGGAATAACTGGGCAATGCTGCAATGGAAATTCGAAATAAAAAACTCATTAGAGAGCTAAAAAATATGGAATCGAATGACGTATTCATATACTGGGTGTTTTATTTGAAGAAATAGATCACCCAGTATATGAAAAAATAGAATTACTTTGGTTGGCCACGCTCGGCATAATCACCCAGTATGCGAGAAATTAATTTTGAAAGATAGTATTTATCGATATGACTGCAAAAAGAATTTACCAGTTCGAAAAATTGTTTCCTCTGATAGTAATGGTCCGAGAGAGTCTTGTTGACTCACCCTGTATAATATAAATTATAATTTTCACCTTCAAATGTTTGTCAAATTTTTATACTTTCTTTTGAATTATTATTAATGATAATTTCTACACCGAAATGGTTGTGTCGGTTTGGCCCAGACACGTCCAGAGAGCCCGACAGCGTCGTCAACTGATGATCACTCTTTATCTGGTTGGTAAGTGATTATTGGGTCCAAGAATCATGGACCCTGAGTAGACACAATTAGCCATGAATGAAAGTCTTTTGAATTTTACCGATCAAGGTTTCTTCCGAATCACAGAAAACTGATCCTGAGATTAGAGAAGAGGGAAGCCACCATTCCACCAGAGACACAACAAATACAAACACTATTTCAACAGAGTGGTCTAGATCAGGGGTTCCCAACCGGTGGTACGCGTACCACCAGTGGTACACGGGAACGTTTCAGGTGGTACGCGTGAGTGATGTGAGCAACATGCTGTTAATAACAAACCTGACTCAGCTCACGGGTCGCTAGAAAAACGAAATAGCCATAACCCAGTGAACGACCTGACATCTTTGTTTTTTTATTACATTGGAATTTATGATTCCTAGGTAATGAAACGATAAAACACTATGAATTTTACCTAGGAATAGTACAGTACAGAATACAGTACATAATAGTACCCCAGATATGACAATTGGTAAACAAAGAGTGTTTCATTTTTCACCTGTGGGTCTTTAAAAGGGTCTTTTACTTTCACTTATCATTACAGGTTCGTTGTGGGTGTTGTAATTATTGATTCTGATTTCGTTTAAGAAAACTGAACTATAAAACAATTTCTGACGTCCTTTTCTACTTCAAACGATTGTTCTAAAAAACCTAAGTAACCGGCCAATCGTAAATACTAGAAAAGCTACTAACAGTACGGTTTTATAGTGAAGCCAGGGACTAAAACCAGTGACATTCCTATTCCTCAATGTGTTCTATGTTTTGAAACACTTTCACTGTGTTTTATTTTCCGTACAAACCGAATACCATATGTGGTCTAAAATAGGACACTCCGATTTAAAAAATTAACTTCGTGTTATGGGGCAAATACGATTCACAATTTGGCACTCTTTTAAACGGTAGCGTTTTTTCGGGCACCTCAAAAACCATTCAAAATGAGCTCATTATAAACAGTGGCATACATTATTAAGGAAAATATAAGCAAGGAGATTGAAAGTGTTTCTTTTTTTGCATGGGAAATTGATGCAACTACCGATATAACCTATCCATCACAACTTTCAATTGTTTTTAGATATGTCAAAGATGGTAATGTGGTGGAACGTTTTATGGGTTTTCATGATGTTTCATCTGGGCGCACAGCCGACGATTTGTTTAATTTTTTATTCGTACGTGTGACACCTATAATTTTAGGCAAAAGTTAATTGCGCAAACCTATGATGGGGCTGCGGACATGGCCGGCCATTTAAATGGTTTACAAACTAAAATAAAGTTCATAGCTCCTCATGTACTTTTTACGTATTGTCATGCCCATGCCCTAACTTTAGTATTAAGCAAAGCGTGCAACAACATAAAAATGTTCGCGCCTCCGGCGGGCTTTTCTTTGTGTATATAGTCTATATGACTCAAGCCTCCCCTGTTCTCCAATGCACGAGCCGTCACTGATGGATAGTGTTGTTAATTCCAATCGAGTGACGGGTCAGTTCATTCATAATTTATTTATTTTTTTGATTGTGGCTCACTTTCACTAGGTGATAACATAATCATTATACATAGCGCCATTCAGTTGTCTATGGGGTGAGAAATCTGAAATTTGGAACAAATCTTCATAAAAAAAATGGGAATCTTTCGATTTCAAAATGAAATCTTCAATGAGATATGTAGACAATAAAAAAAGGTTACTTTCAGGTACATACTGAAAAGAAGAGTTCTCTTGAAACAACTACTGTACTATAAAAATTTAATTACAGGAAAGAAATCAAATTTTTTTACTTGATAATGGGGTCAAACTCGAAACCGGTCGTATAAATAAAATCAACTAGTGGTAATTAGACGAAAATGTTTTTATTCATTTCATTAAAGTGATCATGAATTACTACAAAATAAACAAGTCAGTAATCATACATAACTGCACTTGGGAAAACCCCACAAGAAGAAGTTTAACGGGGTCAAAACGTACGATCTCAGTGGCCAGTTCACATCACCTCCACGTGGGATGAATATGCCCTCATATCGCTGATAGCGAATATCCAATGTGGCAGGAGCAGTAGATCCACTATGTCGGTTTCATGACACCGGAAATTCAACTAACAGAGGCAATGAAGTACATAGAGCTCTGAACGGCCTACGTAGAAATAACGCCATGGAGGTATACGATGCCCAGCGTTGAAGATAAAACATGGCTGACATCAAAGTATACAGAGTGTGTGCAGCGTGTTACGAATGTATTGTATACAATAATTACATTATTATCACTATTATTTATGAACAATAATATGAAAAGTATAATTAGAACAACTGCTGATGTTAATACTTTGCGACGTTGAAGAGCCTTGTGATATATTTGAAAGAGAAAAACATGGCGTTCAGCATTAAAGAAAAAACATGGCTACCATCGTGATATACGGGGCGTCCAGCGTTGAAGAAAAAACATGGCTGACATCAAAGTATACAGGTGCAGCGTATAAGGAAAAAAATATGGCGTCCAGCATTGAAGAAAAAACATGGCTACCATCGGGATATACAGGGTGTGCAGCGTTCAAAGAAAAAACATGGCGGCGGACATTAAGCGGAATATACAGCGTTAAAGAGAAAAAAATATGGCGTCCAGCATTACAGAAAAGAGACTACCATCGTGATATACAGGGTATGCAGCGTTTAAGGAAAAAACATGGCCGACGTCAAAGTATACAAAGTGTTTGCAGCGGTAAAGAAAGAACATGGCGTCCAGTGTTGGAGAAAAAACATGGCTGACATCAAAGTATATAGGGTGTGCAGCGTTCAAGGATAAAACATGACTGACAACGTTGAAGAAAAAACATGGCGGCAATGTAACAGGCATTGAGCGGAATATACAGAGCGCGTCAAAATATATAATTCAAGAATATGCCAACTTGAATGTTTTTTCTTGCATATTGGCAGCCATGTTTATGTTTTTTCTTACATTTTGGCAGTCATGTTTTTTTTTCTTTAACGCTGTATATTCCACTCAATGTCCGCCGCCATGTTTTTTTAACGCTGAGTGCTATGTATTCATTACGGTCAATCGTAAAAACGATGAAAGTTACTTACAGTACGGTTTTATAGTGAAGCCAGGGACTAAAACCAGTGACATTCCTATTCCTCAATGTGTTCTATGTTTTGAAACACTTTCAAACCAATCCATGAAGCCTTCTTTACTGATACGACACCAAAATACTAAGCACCATGATTTGAATGGTGAGCCCATTGATTTTTTTTTTTAAAGAAAATCTAATTTTTTAAAGAAAGAAACCCAATGTTTAACGAAGTTTGTCAATACCGATACTAAGTTGATAAAGGCGTCATACCTTGCTAGTTTAAAAATTGCAAAACATGGAAAGCCAAAGAAATTATAAAAATACCACTGTCAAATAACACAGTAAAAAGACGAATTATGTCTGATAATATTGAAGAACAACTGCTTTGAAACTCCAAGAATGCACTTCTTTTGCACTTCAAGTTGACGAAAGCACTGATGTTACAAACATGGCGCAGCTACTTGTTTTCGTGCGATTTGATTATAACGAAGAGGTGATAGGAGAGTTTTTTTTCTGCAAAC